CGTTTGTTAGCTCGTGTGGGAACACATACATTCTTGTGGCGGTTGACTATGTTTCAAAGTGGGTTGAAGCCGTGGCTTTACCCAACAATGAGGCCCGGAGTGTTGTTGCGTTTCTCAAGAAGAGCATCTTTACAAGGTTTGGCACTCCTCGTGGAATCATAAGTGATGAGGGGGGTCTTATTTTTGTAATAGAGCTTTTAACACTTTGTTTGCAAGGTATGATGTCAATCACAAAGTTTCCACTCCTTATCATCCTCAGGCGAGTGGCCAAGTTGAAGTCTCAAAAAGGGAAATCAAGAGTATATTGTCAAAGACGGTCAATGCAAATAGGACCGATTGGTCAAAGAAGTTGGATGATTCTCTATGGTATTATAGGACTGCTTACAAGACTCTGATTGGTATGTCTCTGTATCGGTTGGTGTTTGGGAAAGCTTGCCATCTACCGGTTGAGTTAGAGCACAAGGCCATGTGGTCTTTGAGGAAGCTAAATTTTGAATGAAATGTGGCAGCAAATCTTCATGTGGAGCAGCTTAATGAACTTGATGAATTCTGATTACATGCCTACTCTAGTTCGTCCTTGTACAAGGACAAGATGAAGTACCTTCATGATAAATATGCTCGTGGCAAGGAGTTCAAAGTGGGTGATTTGTTTCTCTTGTTCAATTCTCGGTTACGTCTATTTCCGGGAAAGCTTAAGTCGAAATGGAGTGGACCTTTTGAAGTGGTATTTGTGACTCCGGTTGGTGCACTTGACTTGAAGAACAAAAATGGGGAGGTTTTCAGAGTTAATGAGCACAAGGTCAAGCACTACCTGGGAAAAATTGATGACAGCCACGTGGTGGCACTGCTCCATCTAAAGTGATTTGATGGTAACCTGTGTCGTACCCGCGACGTTAAATCAGGCGCTTCTTGGGAGGCAACCCATGTGTCTTTCTTTTTTTGTTTTTCTTTGATTTGCTTTGTAGTATAGGATCTGCTTTTGGACTAACTGGTTGTGAGATATGTGTAGGATTGTTTTGATGCAGTGCAAGACCAAGTTGGAAAAAAAAGTGTGCACTCTCTAAAGTTTGCACTGCGGCCGCAGTGCATTTCTTGCGGCCGCAAAGGCCTTAGTGCAGAGGCAACATTTCAATGCGGTCCGCAAAGTGGATTGGTCAAAAAGGAAAGGTCTCTGAAGATTGCCACCGCTGACGCAACACTTTTGTGCGGTACGCTGTAGACCACTGCAGCCGCGAAGCATTTCTTGCGGTCCGTAGTGGAAATCTCCCCAGTGATTCATGTTTCTGAGTACCGCGGACCGCGATGCCATTTTGTGCGATCCACGGTGGGTAGGTACAGTGGGTCCCAAGTTCTTTTTCTATAAATAGGACCTCAGGACCTCATTTCAATCTTTTTGATCCTTTACTCTCAATAGTAAAAAGAAAATATTGTTCATCATGCCTAGCTGCAGGAATTCAATTGTTGAGTCTCATTAATCTACATTGCATCTCATTTCTGGTACTTTTAATCTTTCCCTAGCTTTTAAATGTGTTTTATTTTCTTTTTAAATTGTTAGTTCTACATTTCTTCTCCCCTTTTCTTTATTTTTTTTTTGCTTAAGGTTTCATAAGTTGTTTAGATTAGGACTAATTAGTTAAAAATACTGATTAACTACTTAGTGAGTTTATAATATGTGCATTTAGGCTTAAATTGAGCAAAATCTAAAACCTTAGGTTGGTGTTACTGGTTGTGGCTTACCGCAGTCCGCGGTGCTTCCCCGCGGTCCGCAATGCCATTTTGTGCGGACCGCGATGGTGAAACTTCTGAAAGTTGAGAATTGAGGACCGCGGCCGCGGTGGATTTTGTGCCGTCTGCGGTGGCCATCATCAGAGAGTGGGTAGTCTGAGCCCCACCTCAATACGGACTGCGATGCTATTTTGTGCGGTCCACGGTGACCCCTTTGCGGCTGCATTGCATTTTGTGCGGACCACAGTCTGCTGTCTACAGCTATTTTCTTCTGTTTCATGCGATTATGTCTTTCACCGATTCTTCTGATATTAACATGCTTCAACTTAATAATTCCTTGCAGATAATGGTGAAATCACGAGGCGGAAGTGATAAACAAAATGGCAAAGGAGAGTCCTCCCGGGATAGGGGACGAGGCATGATCAGATTGACCTCACAAGCTCGGCAGGCAATCAAAGATACCAGAAAATCAATAAGGGCTGCGGATAGAGTTGTTTCCCATTCAGGAAGTGAGTATGTGCCCTCCCGGGAGGCATCCGACTCCGTGCTAGAATATGTTCCTGACTGGCCAGAGAGGCCTAGATTGAGAGATACACCTCCGGGCACTCCTACTGCTCAATCTTCAGTTGTTATTTCGTCTGAGTCGTCTTAGGGCTCAGCTGAGAGCGGTGATAGTGCCTCTTCCACCTCACCTACAGCTTCAACGCCCGGTGAGGATCCCGTAGAAGAAGGAGGGGGTGAGCCCCAAGTAGGAGGGGTGGCAAGAACCAGAAAACCAGAAGCGTGGCAAGATAGATTTGTGAGTGAAGTAGCATACCATAAGTTCAGAGAATGGTGGCCCAAGAGGAAGTTGATACTTGAGCGAAAATTTATCACAAAGGACCTTTTGCCTCACAACCCCAATGTGCTGAGGCAGTTCAGAGAGAGAGCAGGCTAGGACTATTTCATGGGCCACGTGGAGGATGCCAATGAGCACTTAGTCAAAGAGTTCTATACCAATGTTTCCCACATCAAAAAGGGCACTACAGTGACTAAGGTGCGAAATTTAAAAATAAAGTTTGATGGAAAAATGATCAATGACTACATGGGCTTCCCGGAGGAGGATGAGACATTGTACTTAGAGAAGGTATCTTAAGGGGAGGATGCCCGTTCGTGGTTAGCAGAGTACTTGGCAATCCCAGGTACCACCCCAACATGGTTGACAACGGGAGTAAAATTTTTGAAGAGAACCCTGAATTTCGAAGCAATAGGGTGGGAGACATTTGTATGCAACAGACTAGACCCCACCACTCATGAGAACTCTCTTCCTATATCCCGGGCTATTCTAGTAGCTTCTATCATGGCGGGGTACCCGATCAACATCGGGAATGTGATGTCGAGGGTGATCACACGAGTGGTCAATAAGGGTGATAAATCATACCCCTTTCCCAATTTCCTGACCATGTACTTTGAGGATCATGATGTAGAAAAAAGGAGATTCGATGTAAAGATGAAGCCGAAGGCCCCTTTTTCCTGTTACAGCCTATAGGTTGATGACAACCCCAAAGACAAAGATCCAAAAGGCAAATCCACTATTTCTACTGGCCAGTCTGAAGAGCCAGTAGTATTAGTAGTGGCTCCTACTCAGCCTCCTTCAGCTGCACCAGACATGGCCCCATGACCCTCCACTTCTATAGTTCCAGATATCCCCTCATCTGCAGCATACCCTTTGACTACCCACCGCTTGAGTCAGACCCTTGCCAGTATCAACAACTAGATGCAGGCAGTCATTTCTAAGCTGTCTGTACTTTCTACCTCGGTGGCATCCCAGTCGGTAGCCCCTCAGCCGCAAGTCCCACAGTCAGTGGAGGACACTCTTAAGGAGCTTCTGGAAAACCAGAAGAAGCTCCTAGAGAACCAGCAGTTGATATTGGACGCTGTTGGTGCACATGAAAAAGCATTGAAGAAGCTTACCAAAGAAACAAAGAAATTGAGAAAGACTCGGGCATCCAAGGAGTCGGTGAAAGAGTTGAGGGTGGAGGTGGATAAATTGAAGGTTGATCACTTGCCTTTGGACCTTTTATTGCATGACCCGGCTCCAGCATCCCAACCTGAGCTGGAGCAGGAGACAGAGAGGCCAGCAAAGAGGAAGAGGGTGATTCCCCGTGCTGATGATGTTGTGATAGAGTTGGAGGAGCCGCAGGGAGGTTCCTCTAGCCAGCCTCAGGCCCCAGTACAGGCCTAGGACCTAGTGGAGACACAGGTTACAGGGAGCCAGTCACAGGTTCCCGGGCAGTCCGAGGACCTAGGGACCCAGATGTCACACCTCTTTTTTACCTACACCCCGAAAGGGTATAAGGGAGTTTTTCTAATTAAAGTGACATAAATCGAAATGAGATTATTTATTTATTTTTAGAGTTGCCACTTGGAATATTTTAATTGGTGTCCCAAGTCACCGATTTATTTTAAATCTCAAATCGAAGAAACTTCGACTTTCCTTTTGAAGTCTGCGAACCAAAAATTCTAAGTAAGGAATTCTGTTAACACCAGAGAAGGTGTTAGGCATTTCCGGGTTCCGTGGTTCTAGCACGGTCGCTAAACTATTAAAATTGGCCTATTATCTGATTTTAATACATATTTTAGCCTATGGTGCATTTTTAACTCATTAACCACTTTTAATTACTTTTAGGAAGATTCAACGTTATTTCAAACACGCCTTGAATCACGCCACATGAAATGCACCCGCGATCCACGACATATTTTATTTAACGCTGTTGAGAATTGGAGTTGGGTCACATGAAATGCACACCCGAGTTTAAGGAAATTAATTTAAATAGCGCACTTAAGGAAACTACGCACTTTCAAGTTTGCGAGGGCCATGGAAAATTCACCTAATGGCACACCTCAATTTTAAAGAATTCATATTAATTATCTGATGGTCATGGGTTATCTAATGAAAATGGCACACCTCAAATTTTCTATAAAAGCTAACTAGTTTTGTGAGGGACATGGGCTTAGGGGTTTTATTTGGCATGGCACGCCTCAATTTATTTCAAAAGATTTTACTCAACTAAAGCAACCAACGGATGTTGATGAATATTTTTTATAGGTACGTGAGAGCTAATCGAAGCTAATTGCCAATATATATATATATATATATATNCTAATAATGGTTTGGTAAATTGTTTCAATAGCCTACTATTATTTAAACAACAACTATATTGTAGTGTGCTTAAACAATTAACCCCATTTAAACAAATGATACTGGAAAAACAAACTCAGGTACAAAATGGATTAGCCATCAAAATGTTTAACCATAAAAAGTGCTAAACAATTCAAAATTAAACATGAAACCAATGATAGCAACAGTACCTAATGCACAGAATTTTACCAACAAACACTCAACCTAACATGATTAAGATTTAGCTTAAAGGAATCGAAAAATTCTATGTTCTTATATCTCAAAGGAATCAAAATAATGCCTTATTACTTTCAATCCAAACATAAGAAAGAATGGAATCGAGTGTGAATTCCAACAAAACAATCACAGAGAAGATGGCCTTCAAAATTAATTACATCATTTTTGGACTGAAATCCATACCTCAATCAGCAATAATACATTGCGAAATTATCCCGCATAAAAGCAAAGAAAGGAGCAGGGAGCTCAGCGATGAGACAGACAGCAGCAGCAACGAAATTGACCAAATAAGGTGTGAAATAAGAGCGAGCTCCAGCAGCGACTCTATTATCAGCAGTAAAACAAATTAAAACAACTCAAACAGGGACTGAGATCAGCAAATCGGAGTCTAGCTATGCGGAGAACAACAAACCTATAAATAACGACACCTTTACAACCCGATTAAGCTTTGAAAGTTCCAGAGAATATAAAGCATGTGAAACTGAGACTTGAATCAACTTTGTAACTCTTTTTTGGTTCAGTTTTGTTGTTTGTTTCTAAGATTTTGAAATTTTGAAATTCAGATCAGGAATTCTAGAATTTTTAGCTGCTACTAGGGCTTAGGCGTGTGTAAGAGAGTGTGAATTGAGTGTGTATGAGTGAAGGGAGTCGTTGGTTTTGTGGTGTTTTTAGAAACTGAAAATGAAGAAGAGAACCCAGAAGGTCTGTCGTTCCCTCTTCTTTCTTAGAGGTCTGATGGATCTTTTCGATCTTCCCCTCTTTAATGTGAGGGGTTTAGGGTATAAAGAGGGAAAAAGGGTTAATGGGACAATGGTCTGGGCCTTTAAAATAGACTAAGGTAAATCAAATGGGTTGATCCAAGCTGGCCCAGTCCGATTTTGAGCTACAAAATGGCCCTTGTGCCTTTCTTTGTTTTCTTTTTCTTTTCTTTGATTTTAAAATCCGATTAATTAAAATCCTAAAAATTAAAAATTCTAAATTATCCATAAGTGTGAAATTAAACTAATTAGCTAATTGTAAACATTATAAACAACACTTAATCCTAAATTAGAGAAAAAATCTATAAAATTGTAAAAAATAAGTTTTTTTGTGATTTTCAATTTTTTTATTTTTTATAAAACAAGTAACTACCGATTAATCCTAAAAATGTACAAAATAAAGCCTAAATGCCTTGCGTGATATTTTTGGTATTTTTCATGATTTAAATAAAATAAATGTGCACAGACAAATAAAAGCAATTAACAAAAAATGCTACAAAAATCCACGAAATTGCAAACAATGGGAAAGATTTATTTTGTTTGAATTTATGGGAATAATTCATATACGGCAAAAATCACGTGCTCACAGCTGCCCCTCTTTGCTCGGAAACACGAAGAGTTTTCGTGCAAAGATAAAGTGAGCGTATACGAGCGATTTTTGCCCGCTGAATACTCCGTGGAAAACATTTTTGAAAAATTTGACCGTACCGTGCTTCCAAGGTTGTCTACATATTCATGGCTATAAAGGAATCAGGTCAGTGTAGTTCGGGAAGTTTTGGTAGCTGGAACTACCATGAAGCTGTGATTCCACTGTTGTTGTTGTTGCTGCTGCTACTGCTTACTGAACTCATTATTACACCATGTCAAAATAAAAAGAAGCTAGACTAGACTATGATCTATGCATTACAAAAATCTTATCTATATCTTCAAACTTGCTCTTATGGTTCTTGTTGCCTTGTTGACTTGTATTCTCCCAGCGAAATCCCTTTGTTGCCGACTTGAATTGTAATCTGAGATGTTTTCCCTTTTCTCCAGGTGGACGCCTGATTGCTGAACTCGAATTGTACTCTGAGATGCTTTCCCTTTCTCCAGGTGGATGCCTGACTGCTGAACTTGAACTGTATTCCTGTGCTCTCCAGGTGGGCGTCTGACTGTTGAACTTGAACCATATTACCATGCTCTCTAGGTGGGCGCCTGACTGCTGAACTTGAACCGTATTCCCGTGCTCTTCAGTTGGGCACCTGACTGCTGAACTTGAACTGTATTCTCGTGCTCTCTAGGTGGGCGCCTGACTGCTGAACTTGAATTGTATTCCCGTGCTCTCCAGGTGGGCGCTTGACTGCTGAACTTGAACTGTCTTCTCTTGTTACTTGACACTGTTTTCCCTCGCACCTTGAACTATTTTCCCTTAAAACTTGAACTGTCTTCCTTCGAAATTGTTTTCTTTTGAAACTTGAGTTGTCTTCCCTTGTTCTCCAGGTGGGCGCCTGATTACAACAAAACAAAAGAAATTTTCTTGCCCCAGTTTGATATTGGGAACATCTGTGAGTGTTAACAAAACTATAAATCACTTGCGCTACTGATGAAGAATGCAATGATGAGAGTAAAATTAATGACTCGACTAGGATGTGCGTTTCCTAAACATGATTGAGCTTGCGGAAAACTACAAACTAAGCTTGACTAAAGTAAAAACTGACACTATTCTCCAAGCGGGGCCCCCTGATTTCAAGAAAACTAAACATTGATAATCTTAAGAAAACTAAAAAAAATGACTCCTTTTTTTCAAATCTAGATTTCCCTTCTTTTTTTCAAAATATCCTAGGAGAAAATTCGGCAGACTAGGTTTTCTATCTTAGGAGAAAGATTCATCAGTCTAAGACGTTAATCCTAGGAGAAAATTCATCAGACCAGGTCTTCTATCTTAGGAGAAAAATTCATCAAACTAAGATTGCGATCCTAGGAGAAGATTCGT